AAGACAGGAATTAAACCATGCACTGGCTTTATGCACAAGGCTGAAGTTTATTTGACAAAGTAAATAAGTAAAGAAGAAGAGAGAGTCATACTGCTCCATAGACAACTTTTGCAATTCACTAGTGCACAGAACGTAACTACAAAGCTATTTAAAAGATGAGATGGGACTGAATGGCTGAAATAACTCTTATTCCATTTTCTGATTCAAGTTGAGTATGTCTCTAATATTCTGATACGATTTTTAGAAAACTTCTGAGAAATACAAAATGCCATTCAGCAACTGCGAGCAAGAAAAGGCCCATGAAGACAACCTTGAAACAGCAAGATAAGGCACAGCCAGACTTTATAACTTGTATTTCTTAAGGAAGCATTAAAAGATAGAAGTGGGAAAACCCAGAAAAATGCATGTGCCAGCCAGCTTTCTAAAAAAGTCCTTGTCAAGGAAAGCAATGCAATAGCAGTGCCTTAGACATCTCTCTGGAGATCTGAGTTCATTGGCACAGCTATGGTATTTTTTGTTTCCAGGAATAATCTCATTTACTTAGCTAAAATAACTTTGTCATAGTATCTAAAGATATTAACTCATTTTACTTGCAGAAACTTCATTTTCCCTCCCTGTCCTACTGTCCAGGACTACAGAGATAATGCCCTTGTATAAGGAGGTGTCTCTCTTGTTGGCTTTTGTTTGGAGAAAATTTGCAAGAATCCCCCAAAGAGATTACTTGGCAACCTGCTCCCCCTGTGCTTCAGCAATGTTTATTGTCTGTCCACAACTCTGACCACTCTCAAGAGGTGATAGCCAGATTTCCCAACATGAAAGTTTCCCCTCAAAAAGTTTCAGGGGACACAGGAGAATCTGCCAGGCGAGTCTCTGCCATTCAGATCACCCAGGGAGTGCAAGAAAGGGAGACAAGCTGCCCCTTGTGCTGGAATAGAGCCAGATGGAGTGAGCTGGGATGCACCAAAAGGTATCTGAAATACGTAGGTGCTGGGGCGGAGACACAGAGAACCACAGAACTCCAAACCGCATAATTTGTTTTCTATCTTCCCACTTTCCTTGGGAGTCAACGAGGAGCAAGTGAGTCACTGCTTATTAAGTGGTCCTCTGCAAGCAGACAGAGTTTGTGGAGTCCAATTTTGGCTTCTTAAAAGTTTGGGGAAGCAAGCAGTCAAGCAGCCATCATTATTCTTGCTCTTCCCAGCAACACAGCAGGGCACAGTCAGTCAATGCTCAGCCAATGTCACAAAGAAGGCACCAGGCAGGCCCCTGCAGACGGGATTTATGGACCACAGGTGTGAGTCACAGGTCCAGGAACATATCTGCAGCACAACATTTCCCCTTAATGCAACAGCAACTCAAAACCATCCTCTCCCAACTCAGAACAATAGAATCATTAAGGCTGGAAAAGATCTCCAAGACCCTGGAGTTCAACCATTGCCCAGCACTAGCAGGCCCACCATTAAATCAAATCCCTAAGCATCACAACTACTTAAAGGATAACAGCAAGTTTGATCCTGCTGCAACAGGTCCTGTTCACCATCACTGGCAGCCCAGAATTAATACACAAACTATTCCAGTAAAACCCATAATTGCCCTGAGCATCTCCAGTCCTTCATAACTCAAACCATTCAGTTTTGTGTTTTAATTTCCTTCTGCTTTCTTGTTATGGACAAGTTTTTTCAGAGTGCACTGTTTGCTGTGATCACTGAACTAGACTTTTATAGGCAATCAGCTCTGCTTTCAGTGTGCTCTCTCTCAAATACCCTGCAGGGGTTGTTCCAGCGTTTCTCTATTACCTTGGGATCTACAAAGGGAACAGAGAGGAGACATTGGAAGGTGAAGTTAAAATAAGCTTCCATAGCTTGTAAAACAATTTTAATTTAATTGTTTAATTTTAATGCCTGAATTGCCATGGAAGGCAATTCAGGAATCAGCAAGTGCCTGGGTAACTGAACTGATACAAAGAGAGTGAGAAAGAAACAATGATCACTTTCTGCCAGTGTCTATGTCCTTTCCCCTAATGTCTTGTTTTGTCCTTGACCACACCAGAGTCTGTCCCCTCCCCGGGCACAAACTTCTTATCAGGGCCTCTTGTGACAGAACAAGGGTTTTAAACTAAAAGATTAGATATAAGGAAGAAATTTTCTATTATGGGGTTGGTGAAACTCTGAGAGAGGGTGCCCAGAAATGTGGTAGATGCCTCATCCCTGGAAACAATCAGGGTCAGATTGGATGTGACTCTGAACAACCTTATCTAGTTGAAGATGCTCCTGCTGATGGTGGCAGGGGCTGGATTAGGTGACCTTTAAAGGTCCCTTCCAATCCAAACCATTCTATGATTCCACCAGCCATAACCAGGTATCTGGCAGCCCCAGTTGTTGTCAACGTTTTTATTTTGATGTCTGCCTGAAGATTCCCTGCTTTTTGTAGCAGAAAACAGAAACACAATGAATCAGTCAGGAACCTTCCACTAATGGTGGAATTCCAAGCAAATGGTGCACACAAAGCACAGATAGCACAGGGAAAGTGTTACCCTCTTCTGGGAGAAAAACAATTGGAAAAGCACATGTTTAGTTTGTTGGGGTCTCCTACTTCTTTTTAGGGATATGCCATACATATTTCTTTCTTTCCCACATGTGTTTGCAGGCTATTGTTTCCATACAGGATGAAAATATAAACATTGTGTCGGAATTCATTTCACTGTATCAACAGAAATACTGATGAAAGCTGTGATGTTACATGGAGACATCAGTTCCCACGTAAAGTTGAAAGAAACTTAAGGAAATCTAACTTTTGAAAAACTTCCATTGATACACAACATGGGACTGGCTAAGAATTAAAACATCTCAGTAACATATCTTCTCCTACTCCATAAACCACATAAATTTGGAAAAATTTTACTCTTATTTCATGTTTGAGGAGGAGATAAGAACACAATCATGAAAAAGTGACTTACTCCCATTACTTAGGCTGCCCTTCTGGGCTATGGGAGATCTCATTTCTAGGTTCACATTTATGAATCGGAAGAGGTTTGAACTTTGGTCACCACAGCAAATTTCTACCCTTCCCCCTCTTAAAAGAAAAAGAAAAAAGAAAAAGAAAAAAGAAAAAGAGAAAAAGAAAAAGAAAAAGAAAAAGAAAAAGAAAAAGAAAAAGAAAAAGAAAAAGAAAAAGAAAAAGAAAAAGAAAAAGAAAAAGAAAAAGAAAACCCTAGGTATTCTCATTTCAATCATTTAATCACATACAAAGAACATCAAATATTGATTTGACATTTTATCTACAGCTCAGTCATAAACATGCATAAGCATGGTAACTGCTGTATGAATTAATCCAACACCTCCTAGCCATGAAGACTGTGGTCAATTTGATGACTCCCCAGAGCTCATTATTACCACCCTTGCACAGGAAAGCCTGCTGTTTTTGTATCTGATCTCTTCACCACATCTTCATATTTCTCTTGGTGCCCCTGGGAAAAAACATCCTTTCTCTAGTGTCTTGTTTGTAGACTGACACACACCTCAGGATGACCAAGCGGGAGGGATCTGGCAAGCACAGGACGCCTAAGATAACACGGACTGTGGGGTTGAGGAATTGAGTCAATCTTACAATACAGAGAGTTGCAAAATACATGTGTACAAGAAAATGTGTAAGTGAGCTGAAGCAGCTCTTACTTGTTTCAACTTCGTTTCAACCCTTGTCATGCTCAAATAACAAAAGATAAGCATTTCCTCATCACTGAAGCTTTGGAGAATCCTCCTGGAATGGTAACAGTTAATTAACTGCGTGTAATAGGGATGTTCCGAGAGCAAATAGCTTCATGTATTTTTAACAACGTAACACTTGTAGGAATTGTAATTTTTGAATATTTAAAAGCTTCATCTTCAAACCTAATACACCCATTTAGAATAGCTGCGTTCAGTTGCTCGTCCATGTTACGTGAATCTGAAACTAAAGCCGGGACAATGAGGCCAAGGCTGCTACGCACCATCCCATTGCTGCAACTGCTCTGTTAAGAACGTAAGAGTCATTAGGCAGTGATAGAGGCATTAGGAGTGATAGCTCCAGCTGGCTTTTCAGACAGGAGCTCCTTCTGGAGAAGAGCAACCAGTCAGGCACTGGATGGACTCTGCTTTGTAGTAAAACCCTCTGCCCTAATCAAATACAGTGCAAAAGAAACGACGGGCAGAGAGGGGTGCGTAAAGGATTCATTAAGATGGTTCCAGCGTTTTCTTGTGCCTTCGGTGAAATAATTTACTCCGAAGTACCCTGCAGTTTACCCATCTTCGCACTGACCACTCTGAGCCACACGCAGGGGCGAACCGAGCGGCTCGCCTCTCGCCAGCAGCCCCAGCGTGCTGCTCCGGGGCAAGCGAGCTGCTCGGAACCGGGCAAAGATCCCCCACGCCGCCACCCGGCACCCCGGAGCATCAGGCCCCGGCCGGCCGCCCCAGAGGCCGCCCCTTCTCCGCCGCCCTCTCGCCCGCCGCCCGCGCTCCAACTTCTCCGGCGGCGCCTCCGCCACCGGCCGGGCTGCGGCAGCGGGGATGTCTGCTCCCTCCTCCCGCCGCCCCGAGCCTGTCCGTGACGGGCCAGGAAAGCCGGAGCCGGCGGGAGGCGCGGGGGCTCCGCTGCGGAGGTTGTGATTGTGGACACGGCAGGTGCGACCGGCACCGGCACCGGCGGGGAGGGCTCAGGCTGGAGGCTCACGCCGCCGCCTCAGAGGCAACAATGGGTCGGGGGAGGCTCCGCGCCGTCGCTCCCTGCCCGCCCGGGGCTTCTGTGGGGAAAGGCACTGCCAGCCCAGCGTAGCCCAGCCCGGCCGAGCAGAGCCGAGCCGAGGCAGCCGCCCCGCCGGCGCCTTCGTGCCCCGCCGCTCCACTCCTCCAAGCGGGCCGGGCCGGGTCGGGGCCCCTCCGACGGCGGCCCTCGGGACCTGCGCGCCCCAGGGCGAGCGGCACGGTGCCGTGTAGCCAGAGCCCCGCTCCATCCCCTGGCCTCACCTGTTCAGCACTTTCCTGATCCTCTGGCGCACGCTGGAGGAGGGCGCGGAGATGCCGCTCCTGCCACCGCCACTGCCGCCCTCCGCCGGCAGGTTCTCGATGGTGGCCACGACATGGCTGGGCTGCGGCGGGTGGTGCGGCGGCGGCGGCGGCTGCGGCGGCGAGGGGTGGCGGTGGTGGCGGTGGCGCTCGGGGGAGAGCATCGCGGCGGGGCTGCGCCTCAGCGGAGAGCGGGGCGCATCCCGGCGGGAGGGCGGCGGGCGCTGCTGCCGCCGGCGCTGGCTCCCTCGGCTTCCGGGCAGCGCCAGACCCTCGCCCGCTCCTCCCTCACTGGGCTGCCATGCAGCGAGGGGCGGGATGCTGCCGCCGCCGCCAGCGAGTGCCGCTCACGGCCGACGAAGTGGCAGCAGTTTGGCGACCCTCCTCCTCCTCCTCCTCCTCCTCCCACACCCCCCGCGCCCAGCCGGTGCCTCCCCCCGGCGGAGCCGCCGCCGCTGCGCCGCCTCGATCCCCTTTGTTCCCGCTCGCCACCGCCCCGCGCTCTCCTGGCGCACGGCTGCTGCCGCGGCTCGGCGCGGCGCGGAGCAGCCCGAGCCCCCCGAGCCCCCCGAGCCCGGAGCGGCGGCGGCGGAGCCCCGCGCACCGCG